CGGCAGCATCACCATCACCCAGGACCACTACATCAAGGAGCTCAAGCCGATTCCACTCACAGCAGAGCAGAGGTCGTCGCCAGATGACGTGGTGGACGACGCCTTGCACGGACATTTCCTAGCATTACAGGGCGGTCTTGGATGGACCGTCAACACCAGGCATGACATTGCGGTCTATGTGGGAGCATTGCAACGACACCAAAAGGCCCCCACCATCATGGACGTGATCAACCTGAACCGCGTGCTGAAGTGGGTCAAACGCAAGCCCTGTGTGATCCGCTTTGAGAAGTTGATGCCGCCGCTACGTATTCTTGTCATCAGCGACTCGGCCTTCAAGCGAGAGAATGGTGAATCCATGGCATGCCGTGGACATGTATTGGCGCTGGCCGAGAAGCAGGACGACAACCCTGGTGGCAGAGCCCATTGGCTAGAAGCAGTATCCAAGCGACATCGTCGAGTGACGAGATCTACTTTTGCAGCAGAGATCAATGGATTGGCCGACGCTATTGAACCAGGTAAGGTAATTGCCATGCAGTACAGTGAAGTGATCAATGGTACCACCACAGCTCACAAGATGGCAAATGACGCATCCCAAGGCAACTGGCCGATACGCATGGAGGCAGTCATCGACGCAGACTCGGTCTTCAAGTCAGTGACTGCTCAGGACGTCAAGTTGCCGCTAGAGGAGTCACTCATCAGTATCGTGATGGCCGTGAGAGAACAATTCAGTGTTGGTCTCTTGGAACGCTTGTGGTGGTGTAGTACGGTCGACATGCTGGCAGATGCAATGACCAAGGGCGCATGTGCACGAGAACCACTTCTTGATGCGCTTTCGTCTGGACGCTGGCAGTTGACCAAGTCTTCCAAGTCGGCACGACTACGTCTAGGGTGTACTCCCATTCGAAGATCCAGCGAGTCGGTATGGGGTCAGGAGCTCGACACGCCGGTGACATCGGCTATTGTGAGGACAAGATCATGAGGAGCGAGCAGCTTCGAAGTACAACCAGAGTGATCAGAACCCTCTCGTCGGGCTCGTCGGCGCCTCGCCCTGACCCCGCGCCTGCCGCCGCTGTTGTGTATCAAGGCTGCAGCCCGTGTTCTGCGCGCCGAGAGACGGCGCACTCTTTCCCGCCAGGAGGTGGCGGCACTGACACTGAGAACGTACCTTCGTTCATCCCTTGACAAGGTTCTGCCGCGATAGCTAGTCAGAGCAGCAGGGCAGTGAGCAGCACAGCATCGGGGAGTACGAAGACGAGAGTATACGTTGACTGATGATGATGATGATGATGATGATGATGATGATGATGATGATGCTGATGATGATGATGATGATGATGATGATGATGATGATGATGGTGGTGGTGGTGGTGGTGGTGGTGGAAGTGGTGGTGATGATGATGATGATGATGATGATGATGAGGAGGAGGAGGAGGAGGAGGAGGAGGAGGAGGAGGAGGAGGAGGAGGAGGAGGACGAGGAGAAGGAAGAGGAAGGTGCGGAGGAGGAGCGAGAAAACCCGAAGAACTGACCGATCATCTGTCTTCGACCGTCGATCGGGGGGTGGGGGGCATAGCCCCGCGGGGCATTTGGGCTCTTGCGGGGCGGCTGGGCGCAGATGGGGCGGAGGCCTGCCCTGGCCATCGGCGGAGGCTGGCACCGTCGGAATGTGCCCGCTCCTGCCGATGCGATGTGTCGGGTGGCGTGCCGATTCCCCGACGATCGACCAGACAACCAGCGACACCACCCCACCTGCGGCATGCCGCGCTACGGCCCATCGGGCGCCGCAGCGGATGCCACGCAGGAGCCTCGCGCCAGATTTCCCGGCACGCGCGAGGCCCCCTGGGGCCGTAGGTGGGGTCGTGCCGTCTGTTCTCTGGTCCAGACGATCCGATGCCAGCTCCCCTCCCTCCTCGGCGGGGGGTGGCTTCGCGTGCCCCCCCGGCGCTTCTTCCCGGCCTCGAGGGTCGACGCCAGCTGCTGCTCGGGACGGGCCCTTCTGCCCGCCGCTGGCGGGCTCCTTGCCCTGCAGCCCCGACTGGGTGCGCGCCCTTGGCAGTGGCTCCCAGTGAAGCCCTTTCGCAGAGTCCCGATCCGATCCAATCCGATCCGAACCCCCTCCCCCTCCTGCCAGGGGATGGAGGGGGAGACGGAGGGGTAGGGGGCGGAGGAGCTCAGAAGACGACGATGACATCCATGCGGATGATGATGCCCATGATGATGATGATGATGATGATGATGATGATGATGATGATGATGATGATGATGATGATGATGATGATGATGATGATGATGATGATGATGATGATGATGATGATGATGAAGACGCTCGCGATGACGGCGAGTGTCATAGTGTTTACACCAGAGAAGTAGCCCAATTAGTGGATGGTTTGAACATTAGTAATATGTATATTGAGGTCGATTGTCAGATCGATAGTGAGATTGATAGTGGGATCGGTAGTGGGGACGACAGTAAGGTGGATCGTGAGACCGATCGTGAAATCGTTTCAGCGAGATCGATAGTGAGATCAATTGTGAGATCGCTCGTGCGATATTTAGTGAGATTGATTGAGATCGATAATGAGATCGACTGTGCCATCGATCGTGATATCGATAGAGAGGTGAGTAATGGGATCGATGGTGAGACCGATCGATGAGGAGATCGACAAGGAACCCGGGAACCCGGAAACCCCTGAACCCCGCCGCCCACCGAAATCGGGCCTGAACCAGCAACTGGGAACCTGGGAACCTGGGAACCTGGGAACCTGGGAACCCGGCCGCCTACCAAAATCGTCTGGGTTTTTGCGCCATTTTTTTCAATATCCGCTAGGACCCCTTGAGTGCAAGCGCTGATTGGGGAATTAGGGTTTTGAAAAGGTGACTGACGATGGTAGTAAATGTTAGGATCGTCGTGGTGATGACGGGTTAGTCAGCGGGTGATGATGATGCTGATGATGATGGTGGTGATGATGACGATTATGATGATTCATATGCACTTGGTAATGATTGTGAGGAAAGCGTTTGCGATGACGATGACGAGCACGGTTATGGTGATGACGATGGTGGCGAGAATGACGAAAGCAACGACGACGATGATGATGATTATCATGATGATGATGATGATGATGATGATGATGATGATGATGATGATGATGATGATGATGAAGCTGAAGATGAAAATCAAGCTGATGCTGCAGTTGTTGATGATGCTGATGCCATCTGATGCTGCTGATGCTGAAGTTGTTGATGCTGATGTTGCTGATGCTTCTGGCCATGACGATGATGACGATGATGGCGATGGTGGCGGTGATGGTGATGATGATGCTGATCATGCCGACTATGCGGGTGAGGAGGACGATGTTGAGGGTGACGGTAATGGCGGTCATGATGATACCACGTATGACGGTTGATGATGGAGATTATGATGAGGATGATGTTGATGATGATGCCGATATTGCCAACGACCTGTTGATGTTAATGATGCGTCAAATGATGATGACGATGATGATGCTGATGATGCTGATGCTTATGATGACGATGCTGATGCTGATGATGATGATGATGTCTATGAGGCTGATACTGATGATTATGATGAGGATCATGCTGATGATTTTGATGATGATGCTGCTGATGATGATGATTAGTATGGTTGTGGTGATGACGATGATGATGCTAAGGATGATGATGGTAATGATGAGGACGAGGCGCAAGGTGCTACTGCTGCTGCTGCTTTTGATGATTATGTCGGTGGTGCCGACGATTATACTGCTGATGCTGATTCTGCTGCTGCTGCTGCTGATGATGATGATGATGATGATGATGATGGTGGTTGTGGTGGTGGTGATGCTGCTGATGATGATGATGGTGGTGGTGATGATGATGGCGATGCTGATGCTGATGCTGATAAGATGCTGCTGCTGATGATGATGATGATGATGGTGGCGGGTGGAGAAGGGTGAGAATTATGCGGAAGGGGATGATGATGATAATCAGTAGGAGGAGGCGGAGGAGGAGGAGGTTGAGGAAGGAGCATGGGATGATGATGATGATGATGATGCTGATGACGATGTTGATAATGCTGCTGATGATGATGATGATGATGATGATGATCTGATGACGATGGTGATGGTGATGGTAATGATGATGCTGACGATGATGATGATGATGATGATGATGATGATGATGATGCTGCTGATACTGCTGATGATGCTGTTGCTGATGGTGATGCTGATGATGAGGCTGATGATGCTGATGATGCTGATGGTAATGATGATGATGGTGATGATGATGATGATGAACATATGATGATGCTGATGATGATACCGATGAGGATGATAATGCAGATGACGATACTGATGCTGATGATGATGAACATGATGATGCTGATGATGATGATGACGCTGATGCTGGTGATGATGCTGATATGATGATGATGGTGATGGTGATGATGACGGTGATGATGATGATGGCGAAGATGATGATGGTGATGAGGATGATGATGAGGATGATACTGATGTTCATGATGACAATGATGATGATGATGATGATGATGATGATGCTGATGATGACGATGATTCTGATGATGATGCTGATGATGATGATGAGGATGATGATGATATGATGATGATGATGATGATGATGATGCTGCTGATGATGCTGATGCTGATGATGATGCTGATGATGATGATGATGCTGCTGATTTTGATGATGATGATGATGATGATGATGATGATGATGATGATGATGATGATGATGATGATGATGATGATGATGATGATGATGACGATGATGATGATGATGATGATGATGATGATGATGATGATGGATGAGGCGGAGGAGGAGGAGGAGGAGGAGGAGGAGGAGGAGGAGGAGGAGGAGGAGGGGGAGGAGGAGAAGAATAAGAAGAAGCAGCAGGAGGAGCAGGACGACCTGCGCGACGACGGCGGGGACTGGCGGCCGGCGACGGCGACGGCGACGACATCTGCGGCGACGGTCGCCCCGAGGACCTGTGCCGGCTGGTGCGGGCCACCGCGGAGCGCGTGAGCGCGTGCCGGGTGTGCGTGATGGGCCCTCGCGGCCGGGCGGTGCTCAGAGCAGAGGGGCTTCTGGGCGTCACTCGGGAGGCTTCCCAGGAGTTTTTTTTTTTTGTTGTTGTTGTTTTTTTCACTCTCTGGGCCATAACGCGCGTTATGCCCCCCCCCCTCCCCCCCATAATTTGACGCT